CACGAACAGTTCGCAAGCGTTCAAGAACAACTAAAAAAATATAAAATTGTATTTGTTCGTTTTCGTTCATGAAATATTTGTTCGTGTTTGAACGCGAATAGTTCGTGATTGATTTTCATCATTTTTTTATATATTTTTTTATCAATTCGACATGATTCGTCCAAAATTCAAAGAATTCACAAATCTTAAGTAAAAAATAACAAACTACTTTAGATTTTTGTTCTCTTCTTGAACTTCAAGGTGTTAAATTGTATTCAATTTTCGATGATTGTTTTTAGAAATCATGGTCTTAAGTTAATTCTAATTGGTCGTAACATTGTCTACACGTTCGTCGTATGGTTCTTTTAGGGTTGTGTTTGTTCTTGTACGCAGTTTTCGCGAACGAACACAAACAAACACGAACAGCTCGCGTTCATGACCAGCCTTACTGTTTAGTACTAAGTGCAAGTACCTTTCCCACCCCAGGTGCAGTAAGGAAAGTAAGATTACCTGAATTGCTTTCCAAAAGACGTACAAGGCAACAGTTGTGTCTGGATAACTAACGAATGCTATACTTGATAAAAATGCTGCTGGTATTGCATGCTTTGGATCATCCTTTCCGGTTATGTGTCGCAATGAACATGAGCTCAACTGAAAATTTATATTTAAAAAAAATTGTAGTTTTCTTCATTCAAATATGAATTTCTGAAAAATTTACCCGAAATATTGTAGCAAAACCGCCTAAGAATGTGCCAAGTTTGAGTGTATTTGAACTGCGGAAAATTGATTTGAGTTGTGTTAGCCATGGTTGCTTTGAAGTCATTTTCAATCTGATCAAGATCAATGTGATCTGCAACCGAACAAAAAGAAATTTCTCAATTCAAACAAAAAAAAAGTGCAACATTTATCACCAACCTGTAGCCCAAGGCCAATGGTAAACAGTTTCGTACCACCGGATACGACATAGTGTAAGCAACTATTTCTCGGATGTGGACAAGTTTTATGTCGTGGAAATCCGTATTTAAAATAGTCCATCATCTGAGTGTAATATCGAACTGCTTGCAAAATGATCGGAAGCAGTGGATTTTTTGATTGTCCTAATCGGGAAGAGGATGGTTGTTGTGGTTGTTGATTTCGTTGAACGGACAGCAATGGTGCCGATGATTGTCGTTCACGCCGTCGTGATAAAAATTGTGGTTGCAATTGTAATGCTGGTACATGTTCTTCGTAGCGTCCAACAACAAATCGCAAAATATCATAAATTGAATCTTTATTTGATTGAGCGGATGGTGTTGTTTGAATCGATGGTACGGTGCCTTGGTGCATTCCACATCGAAAGTAATACAATAACAACGATATGCCAGCACCAAATATCAAAACTTGACCATGCGGTAAAGGACGAACATAGCCGCGACTGCATGCCATATTGAATAAGGTCTCGGTTGCCACGTTTGAAACATACAAACAGAGGAGGCCACGTCGCGATGGACGCTCAAGCAATAATGCACACATGCTTGACATAAATGACGGCACATAAGATACCGTATAAAAATTAAACGACCCCATGTAATGGCGTAATAAACACAAGAAAAATGAATAGGTAAAAGCACTTGTGGTTAAAAATGCGGTTGACTGTAGAATTCCCAAAAGCATTCGTTTTAAATCAGTCGCTGTCGGTATGCGACATCGCATTAAGAGACTCAACTACAAAGAAAAAGATTGATTGGTTACTTTGATTAGAATGATTTTATTCATTTATTGATCTAGAACAGTGACATTTTAAACCCGAAGCATCATTTTTGCTCTTTTTAGTGTTAAAATGGCACTGTTCTAGTATATAATAACCATAGAACAATAAGCAACTCACCGTATATACTGAAGAATATAACCGAAAACTTTCCTGCGCCGCTTGTAATAATAGGCCGGCTGTGGCAATTGAACAATGTTCTGTCCATGGATGCACGTATTCTATACATGTCGCCGATATCGGCGTTAATTTACTTTGTACCGCACTCATTGCATGCAATTTTTGTCTACTTTTTTTTAAGTTATTCCCACTTCGTTCAAACACTTTTTGCGTATCACTGACTTTTTTTGGTGTTTCACCGAGATTTCATATAAATCACGCGGATTTATCGCCGTCCGTTTTGGCTAAAGAGCTGAAAAATGAAATTATTTTTGAGTTATTTGATGATTTCAACCAAAAATTCGATATATATCTTTTTTATCTTTGTCATAAAATTGGTCTACAAAAAGGTTCTTATCTGTATTTCTTATCTGTTTAATAGCCTTTTCAAAAGCAATAGTTGTAAACGATTAAAGAATTATGGTCAAAAAAGCAATAAAACCACAATGAAAATGGAAAACAAATGCATTTGAAATGTAATAAGGTCAACCAAACGTCAACGGATTTCTAATTTGATATCGCAATGCAAATCCGTTTCCGTGTAATACCGACCGCAGTCGGTATTCTTTGATGTGTGATCAATGATCATAGACGTGTGAGTCATCTAAATTACTTTCAAGTAAATCAACAACAGTTCCTCACGCACACAATTAAAATGCGTTACTCAATAAATTCACAGCATGAAATGTCATAATTTCCGTTCATTTCGATCTAATTACAGAGTATATTTTGAAATTGGATGGAGTCAAGAACGTGTGGCACTTAGAATGTGGTTCACTTGGAAGAAAGAAATTGGTCATCAATTATATTGATGGTTTTATATTATTATGACGCATTTTGAATCATTTTAGAAAGGTTTTCGGATCAATTTCACGATTTAAAACAATTTTTGTGTGTGATTTTGTGAATGACCATTTTTCTTCGAACAAAACATTCAAATTACTTTTTTAAATCGTTGCTTTTTGTTTAATATTCCGTCTAAAACTGGACAAACAACTGTTGTTGATCAATTGATCGCGACTTGCAAACGACATTTGAAACACACATTCCTTGACGGCAGACACACTATGTAATTACGCATACAATTTGAATGGATAATTTTCATGCAAAACAATAGCACGCTACGGCCACTGCGCTCTTTAAGGTCAATCTCTATTCCCACTGTGTGTATTGTGTGTGTGCGCGATTTTTTTTTTGTTAAATCAAGTATCAATACAAGACATCATGAAAAAAAAAAACAAATGCCACAATTTACTCACAGAATTTTTGTAGAATTTATGCACCAACATTCATAGACTGGGAGTAGAACATTTTTTTTTGGTATGGAAAAATTGCACGATTTACTAAAGAATAGAATTCAAATAGAGAGAAAATGTAATTTGATTCGTCGTTCGAAGACGACGTTTGACATTCTGGAAAATTATATTGTTTTTCTTATCATAAAATCATCTGTCATTCTGTCAGTGTCGGAGGGGTTTTTACAGCAGTTTTGTATAAAACGATAAAACGAATCATAGATGACGCCACCAGAACATGGAAATTCAGTTTTTTTGTCATTCTTTTTTCAAACTTTTTTACATTCACAAATCAAGAGATTAAGAATTCGGATTTAAAATGTAGGAGAATATTTGAATAAATAAACAAATTTCGACTCTTTTCTTTTCTATTTTCGAAACTTATCTCAATTTACCGCAAATGAATAATAAATCAATCTTTCATGTTTTTCAAATCAAACGTAAACTGAAAAATTCAGGAAGAACAGAAGATACGACTGAGACAGCCTCCTTCGTGTTACGAAGAGAGTGAGAGAGAAGCGCCTTAAAATGTAAATGTTTGTCTCATTCCTCGATCGATTCCTTGTTTATGTGTTAGTATTTGTTTTGACATTTTGAGTTCATTGTTCCATTTGGCGATGTCACTTCATTGATCTACTGGGTAAGATTTTCGTGTTGTGTTCTTTTTCGTCGTGTTTATTTATATATTTATTGTTCAGAACGATGTCAATGCAACAAAATTCGATGCTTTTCTTCTGCAATTGTTGTATGATCGAAGCGAAATTGTTCCAAGACGCAACACCGAACAGTGGACCACCACGTCAGGTGCATAAATGGTTTTGGACAAACTGTCAACACATTTTATGCTATCGTTGTCGAACAAATAGAGGTGAAATATGTGCCTGTTGTAAAAAAAACGCCAAATTCATGGAAATATCACGAAAAATGCCGAAAATCCATCAACTCTTTTTCGAGAAGACGTCAACGATAAAAAATAGTTTGGTTTCGGTGGCCAAATTTGGTAAAAATCAAAATTCGTTGATTTCAGTGCATATCCGGGCTAGATTTTTGGATATACGACGAAGAAATACTGAGGCAATTGACACAATGAAAAAATTTAATGCAATGAAGAAAATATACCACAAAACTCGTATCATTCACAGAATAATTGCCGAATATATAAAACAGTGAGAGTGATGATTTTATTATTGAACAATTTTGATACAAAAAAACATAACATTACATTTATTTAACTTTTTTTTTTTATCTATATAGGCGTCGAGAGATTAAGGAGCAACGAAACAACAGTCGAGTGAAGCCACCGCCACGCCACAGTCATCCAAATCGTCACTATGAACAGAATCATAGTGTTAGTTACGCTGGACCGTCGGTCGATTTCAATCAAACTACCCATTCCAGGAGACAGAGTGTCCGCCTTCGTGGCGCAAGAGAAGTACCAACGATAAAAAGCTTTGATTCCGGTTTCTCCTTTCAGTAGATTGCTTCCGATTCATTTTACACGACTAAAATTATCCGAAAGCAAATTATTTCGTAAGGTAAAATCGATATTTGAACAAATACATGTGAACAAATCGATAATGTTCAACATTCAAAATGAAAACCTGCGACTTGATCAAATTAATCGATATTAATATTAGCAATCTTCACACAAAACAGCATTAACTCAAATAAAAGTCATTTTTTAAGAAGAAAATCTCGGTTTTTGGTTTTTTTTTTGCAATAGATTGAAAATTTCTGCAAAAAATCCAAACTATGAGAAGAAAGAAAAGAAGAAAAAACAGTGAATAATTCAAAACTGTGTCAAATGTTGTAATTATAAAAGATACTTTAAAATGTTCATTTGATAAAGACTTAATTATTAGTCAGAATAAGTTTTTTTTCTATATTGTAATTATGAAAAGATTTAAAAGACCACGCCTTTCAAATTATCAGGCCTGTATTCAGGAAGCATAATGTACGGACTTTTCTTTCATCCGTGAATGAAAAATATATGATAATAATTCCAGTAATTATTTCTATTTATTGGCAATAAATGACCGATATTATCGACAAAAATGAACTGTAAATCCAAATGTTACTTATTAAACAATGATGAACAACTCTTACTTATTATAAAATTCAGACCAACAATTATTTTCAATAATGAATTAATGATGAAAAATATATCTTATATAAATAACGAAATAAAATGAAATTCTTCACAGTTTAATTTTGGTATTGGCCCGTTAGTAGGCACAATTGAAATTTTTTTACACATGTTTTTGACTTTTTTGTGGAATAGTAATAAGGATAAGATTCCTATGTAAAATAAACGATTTTTTATAAAGTAAACCTCCAATTTTGTTGCCATGTTCAAATGTAAGTGCCAAAAACTGAAAAAGTTCAGTCACAATACAGTGTGATAGCTATTCTTTGATTCTAGAGACGAATTGAACGATTACACCAATTGCAACCGGCCAAAAGGCACTACTGTGGTTTTGTGCACTTCCATGGAGGGAATGTGGGACAAAAATTATTTTATATTTTCTTTAGTTTTCTTTATATATTTTCATTAATTTGTTCCACGATGGCAAGTTCGACATTTCTCGTGAGATACTTATCGATCGATTTGGGCGAAGTTTTGTATCCTGTTTTTCAAATTGCCGCTGCTATCTCCGCGATATATTCATTTTTTATTGCTTTTCTTTCACTAGTTCTCATGGTGATTGGGTCACTGCAATTTTTCATGATTTTCCAGTGAAATGTGACTCCTTTCCTTTCAAGTCGCTCTCTTATATTCATATCTTGAATCTGGGGACTATAAGACATGTTTTCTCAGGTGGCCATCAAGATATGCCTCGAAATTCAAAAAAATGTTCCACCCTAATGTTCAATATCTTTCGGGAAATGAATATTCGTTTGGTAAAGTAAGTAATTTAGAAAAAGTGCGGACAAGATAGACGGATTTAAGTTCCATTTTATTCTTAATGGATTCATCGATAAAATTCTTTGTTCTAAACTTCAATTTAATTAATAATTGTATTTTTTTCTACAATTTCACCTTTCTATTTCAAAGCATAACAGTATTTCTCTTGATAATGAAAAACCTACTAAATAAAACCATGTTTGCATTTTAATGTTGCTTACTAAGAATCTTTCAGCAATCAAAGTTAAAGCCAAGATCTTAGGACAAGTTTGCATTTGATATCTGCAGAATAGATGCTTTATTACATGCAAAGCACATACATAAATTCATATTCATCTCATTCATCCATCCAGTTACAATTTTTGTTTCATATGATGTCGTAACTTAAAGTTCCGTATCGGCATTTCATTCATCATAATAAATTAGCGAGAGCAAAGCAAAAACTCTTCACGTCTTGATTTACGGTTTTTTTTATAACTATCATTCAAAATAATAAACTTGTTTGTTGTAAGCGAATAAATACAGCTTCATTTGTCGAAACACTTCTCCTTTTAATCTATAGTTTGCGGCAAAAAAAAAATTGAATGAACTGCTACCGATCAGCGTGTGTTGCTAATTAATTAAAAAAAAGAAAACGTATACAATGTCAGATCGAAATCGTCCGAAAAATATCGATAGATATTCATCTAACCAATTGAAATAAATAATGATCATGTACACTTTGTATGAAAACAGTCACAGTCAGAAAAAGAAATTAATTATAGGCGTCTATTCAAACAATCGCTCGTTTCTTCTTAATTCAATGGACCTTTTTTTGCCAATAAATCAATATAAGTTTCGTAGTGACAACGATAAAAAAAGCGTGGTTCTTTGCCAAATGAAGAATAAGTGAATAAAATCGTTTTTTTCTTCTCTCTTGAAGTGCCTCTTCTGTAGGTGTACACTGGTTCTTCTTTATTTCCATACAAAATTACCGGTCACATTCATACACACAAACAATCGACCATTTATTGTCGGTTGTAAAACAACATATTTTGTTGTCTATTTCAATGAGATAGAAAACACCGTAAGGGCCTTAGCGGATCAGTTAAGAAAGACGTTGACGTGATGTCCACGAAATAGCAAGACCTAAATATCGCAATAGGTCTTCAAGCCATTAAAAAAGTATTACAATGTTTTTGTATACAACATACACAATAAAATACCAAGAGTTACCCACAGAATGATGAAGAAATTCTCTCTCGCGCGATAGAAAAATGAAACATTGTTTGAAAGCGCGTTCGAGCACGTTATGGAGTAGGGTCACGAAGTGCTTATATACACTGTTTTCATTCGATTCAGTGTTTAGAAGCTTGAATAGAAATGACAAAAGTCGCTTTAAACATCTCAAATACCGCTTTAACCGCAACGAATTGGCAGCAAAAGCACCGAACACTCACTACCACACATTTGGTATTGCGACTGTATGCAAAGCGCTGCAAAGTAAGCCAGGCACATGGCATAAAAACAATTCACACAAACTTAGATGAGTCAATACACAACGTCACGCAATTCACGTTGTTTATTTCATTTTACATTGGCGCGATTCATGTTGATATGCATGTGGCTCAATGTTTTACTCCATACACAAGCAAGTAAATACTGTTGCTTTCACAACTGTCAAAGTGTACACACAAGAGAGACGGTAAAGCGTGCGAATAAAATGAAGCGCCAACGAGCAACGTGTGTTCATGCCTATACATTGAATTGTGTTCGTGTGCTGTTGGTGTTGTTTGTATTGTTTCGTCTGTTTTCTTTAATTCTGTTTCTTCATTGCTGCAATACTGTTTTTATACCTTTTTTTGTCATTCTTGGGCGGCTATCCCTATCTCATTTTTTCTTAGTCTCATACTCTCTCCATTCATTCGGTCTCTTTTCCTTTTCGCGTTACGGTTACAGTTTTCGTTCATTGGAGTTAAGGTATTAGTCAGTGTTACATCGCCACGAGTAAAAGTCGATAGCAATTTCTTTTCCATACTCTCTGTGCGGCTCTGGCTCGTCTGTTTATTTAATGATTTGAAGTGTTTTTCGCGTGTATTCAGAGTTTTTTCTTTCAATGTCCAATACTTTCGTGTCAATTTTCGATTGAATAAAGAAACATGTTGGTCATGCACATAGTTTCAACTGATTAAGATAGTTTTTGAATCAAAACTCTCCTTTGTGTGTTAATTGTGTTAATTTTTTTGTATTACCTTTGATTTTTTTGCTTATAATATCGAAAATCGCGAATCGAAAAAGATACTTCGAATCGCAAATGATGGTGATGATGATTATTAAATTGAAAATGTGCAGTAAAATGACGTGAATACTTTTGGAACGACGACCTCAAACGTATCCAAAAAAAAAAATCGATCAGTGTGTTTTTCTTTCTTCGTGCAAAACAATACGAAAAAACATTGGAATTGGAATCGAGTGCGGCTATGGAATTGTTGTTGTTCCACTGTGTCAATGTGAATAACAATAACGAAAACGACGACGACGACAAAGCGAAACATACACGGAACAACTCAGACCCACAGCGTCATACACATTTACAGTTCAATACGCCTAATTGTCGGCAGTTGTACAAGATTACGAAATAATCACAATTATGGCAAAACGACACACTGCTTATACTACGGTAATTCTCTAATTCTGGACAAATCTGCTCTAGCGCTTTTTTCGTTTCATTCTTCGCGCCTATCTTTTTGCGCGCGCGATGTACGACAAATGTTTTGTTGTGTTTTTCTAGTAGTTAGTTAGCGCATGTGAATAGAAATTTAATACATTCATGGACGATACGATATATGATGTGATTTGTGCGGTTTCTTCTTTTTTTTCTCGCTTCTCGTATCACTTTGTGACACAGAAAATCAAATTGTTTTTTAAAACACAATTCTTTGTCTTTAAAGTGACTTCTACATTTATTTTTTTGTGATTTGTGTTCAATCAATGTGTTTTTTATCACAGGGTGCCCGTGTCTGGATACCAAACGCGACTACAGTATGGGAAGGTGCCCAACTTGTAGGCGATTATCATGACGGCGATAAACAATTGCACATACAAACGGATGCCGGCATGGATCGCGTCATTGAAATTCGAAGCGACAACGATTTGCCATTGCTACGAAATCCAACCATTTTAATTGGACAAAATGATCTAACCGCCTTATCATATCTACACGAACCGGACGTTTTACATACATTGGAAGTACGGTAGGTGTACAATTGTACATACAAACTGTATTTTTTTTTATAATCAAATGGAACTTAAATTCGACGAATTTATCGCAAAAAAAAAAAAAACAAAAAATGTATTTATCGGCAGAAATTTCCAAGATTTCGAACAAAATAGAGAAACATTTTGTTTGGGAGAAAAAAGTCGGTTTCTTGTTAAAATTGATTACTATGAAAGCCGGAATATGAACCATGAAATTTCCCAAAATTGAACCAAACGTACTTGAATAAAAGAACAATTTGACCCGCCAATTGTAAGAATTTCATGCCCATGGAACCAGTTGAACTGAATACAAATTGAATGTTTGAAGACAGAAAAAACACTTACTTTTACTCAATTCGATTGACATTGATCTTTTTGTTATGATATAAAGAGTTTTTTCATGATTAAAAAGCGATCTGATAACGTTATCAATTGAATTGAAAAGATGGTCTTTCACTAGCATTTTCGCACATTTTTTCCTCCATCGTTTAAAAACTTTCTTTGATGATTGTTTTGTTTCTGTTTTGATTTTTCAATAAACTTTTGAATTGAAGAAAGTAACCCGTCTCGGCAATTTTCGTGACTTTCAAAACGTTTTCTTTGGCTAATAACACACTTTTGAACAATCGCTCATCAGATTGGTTCATTTGTGTTAATAATATATATATATTTACACTAAAGAAAGAGATTGTAATATCGCTACTCTTTGTATTGTAATCAGATACACATAATGAAATGTTTCTCTTCGAGCCTTGATTTGAACTTATTTGCCCGGCGGCTATTTTGCATTTGAAAACCGAAAACTATTCGACAACCATATTTGCTTAGTCTTTGGTGTTTTCGATCTATGCATGTATTTTGAACGTCAATCAATCAATGTGCCTTCGAAAAATTTTAATCTCAAGTCAACGAATCACTTTCATTTGTCTTACTGGTATGTCTGTATGGCAGTATTGAGTTATTACTTTTCCGCACACACATAGTGTGAAAGGGGAAAGTATTGTAATGGGTCAAAATTTACGACATCTCAAAAACATGTTTTCTGGACGTTTCTGAGGTCAGAGAACCCGAATCAGGCCGTTTTGAGCATGGTTGTTGTGGGTCTGTTCCACGTCGTACGTCGTACGTCGTACGTCGTACGTCGTACGTCGTACGTC